TAGTGAAGGCCAATTCCAATAAATTATAATCTTAAAGTCATCCGATTTCAACATTCTAACACTCTTCCAACTGATTGCAATATCAGAATGAAACTTTGCAGAAATAGCATATGTATTTCTTGGTACATTCCTTTCGCAATCAAGTCCGCATAAAAATACGGCAAGTCTAGATATATATATATAATTGCAAGTGCTAACAAGAACTCCAAGGCAGCTGGTATTCATCGGAAGCGGTTATATTCTCTCGTATGTTAATTACCTTTGAGCTAGAACACCGAGCACGATATTAATGTGAAACCAAATTGGACGGTTTAAATATGTTCCGAAGCAATTGTCACGATCGCCGGTCACGAGGGTGTGTTTTTCAGGAAATTTTCTTCGACTCTGCAGTGTACCAAAGGAATTCGCGAGCGGATCCCGATAATTGTTTCCCTCGCTTCCAAAGTCAACAAACGGGAACGAAGAAAGGAAAATTACCGAAGTGAAAGAACTCTTTAAGACCATAGTCGACGGCCGACGCTCGCCTAAGTAGAGCCACGTTTGCTCCCGTGCTCGACATCGTCGTGAATCATGTTCGACTTTTATTCGCAAACTGTATCGTTTCAAAGTAGTTTTAAAATCTAATTTTAAAATCCGCTGCGATCATGATTCATCCTGTATAAATCCATATCGATGGACAAAATCTGAACGAACAAATATGTGTACAACTTCGATAGAACACGTTTATAATTCCTAATCTAGTTCTCTTAGGAATGGTTGAACAATGTATTATTTATTTATTTATTGTTGTGCCAATACACTATATATGTGGATATAAATGTTTTTAGTACATAATATTATTACATAATATTAGCAATAAATAAATAAGTAATACGTAGTTCAACCATTTCTAGAACTAGATTAAAGATTAAACGTATTTTAATTCTCAAAGATTTACCATTTTAATTTTTACTGTCTCGCTAATCTGGCACGTTTCGTTTGCGATTTTCACTTCCAGGAACTCTTCGATTTACCACTGGTCAAACGATGTATATTTATGAAGGATGACATAATAATTATACCACCGTGGACGAATGATGTAATATGTAATTACTTGAGAATAGTTGCCATTATGTTTGTATTTATATATATATATATATGTTAAAATTGTTTCCGTCTAATTGCATGCATATTAACCTGCCACGTAAGCATCACTCATTAATTGTCAATCTTTGTTGTAATTAGTTAAATAATCGTCTAGAGTTAAGCGAAACAAGTATCATTCTTTGCACAACTCTTTCACAATAGAATACCGCGGTTGTAAGAAGAAATGAAAGACACCTGCACCGAGTATTCACCTACGAGGACAATGGAACCGTGTTCATCCGATTCGCGATATCGCTGACATTATAAACAATGAAATCCAATCGGCTACAGCAAGCTCGTATAAGATTCGGTCGTAGATCGATTACGTAAGACAGCAAAAATTTAAACTTTCTTAACGCTGAACGCGATCACCGGTTAAGATCATCGATCGAGCTAGCCTTTCTATTTTTGCAGGTGAAGTCCAATGTATCGCTATGATAGATGATCTATCGGCACAATTTACCGTGATCTGAGGATTCGAGCTCCAACCTTTCACAACGATTCTCAAGTTTCATTGCTAAACGACGGGTAACGTGTGCACGTGTACATACAAACAGCTGCCGTACATGCACTTAAAAGTTTAAATAATTCTGCCAACATCGCGGACGCTGTTGTTGTTGTGTCTCACGAAAGCGTGTGCCTCAAGATTTAAATTGTTTAAGACGTTTTAATTGAGTTCGTTTAAACTGTTTCAATTTTTCATAAATTTACCACGGTGAATGTTATATTCTCTATGTTCTAGAATGAAGCATTCAATTGTGTTCTACTTTCAATAAATGTAAAACGAAGGATTTACAACGACGACGGTTTTGGTCAATGTATCTTCAGCGCTAACACAATTCGACGATGTTAACACTGCGGTAGATTCGAAGAATTGCGATCTTATATAATCGAGATTGCGAAATAACGAATTACATTTCTATCGGAGTGCAATGACTCCCAAGTAAATTTTCGTTTTGCACAGGTATCCGCGGTTTCATTGTACTGCTTTTATTTCAGTCGCAACACGATAGAATCTCTAACGCAATTACTGTGTTTCCTGCGATGTGAAATCGGGCCTATAGCCGTTTGTCAGAGTTCCCTTGCACGAGCGGCTACACTGGCATGCAAAAGTTTCGAACAGCATAGGCAGTGCAAGTAAATGATTTATAAATTCAGGATTTCTGCGGACGTAAATGCAGAACAAATAAGTTGCATGCACATAATAATTGTTATTGTTTGTTCGAGACGTTCAAAACAACCGTTATTCGGCACGAATGCTTATAAGAAAGTTTATCTGTATCGCATGTTTACACATACGTATGTATTTTGAAGTGCGCCGTGCACACAAACATTTCAGAACTTTGAAGCATAATATTTCTATTTTATTTCATATTTTCAAGCTTGCTTTCACTGCGCTAACCTTATACCGTGTTAACTGAAGAGTACACATATAAGTCCATCTTTTGTCGAAGTTATGTACTGAAGCAGATTTAAATTTTGAGGCTTGAAGCTTCAATCTAACGTGTCTAGTTCCAAAAATCCTTCATTATTGAGGAGAACAGTAATTAAAAAAGATGGACAATTAATTTATTGGATTGCATATCTTTGAGGCTTGAAGCTACAATCTAAGGCTTATAGTCCCAAAAGTCCTTTAACATTAAAAGAACGAGTAATTAAGAAAGATATACAATTAAAGGATTAATTCGTCCATCTGTAAAAAAATATAGCTATTCGACTGAGGCAGATTTAAATGTTACAGCTGACTTAATATACCTTTATCATTGAAAAGATCAGTAATTATAAAAGATAGTCAATTAAACGTTTACTTCGTTCAGTCCTAAGTAATTTTGCTTTGAAGATTCCACGAAAGAAATGAATTATAGATTGGCAGGATTTTCTTACAAATGAAATTACAATAGAGCAAGCGAAATTCTGCTTGAATTTCACGTTCCAATAAATCAGTCTACAAAAGACTGTATTTGCATAAAAATCCGCAGTCTAATCATGATTGACATTCAGGAAATTCTTTTCGATGGCCGACAAAAAATGCCACGCAAAGTGTGCCTATTGTGCAGAAATTATTTTATTATTATTAGAACAGGGAAGAAGACGAGCATATTATAAATAATTTAACGACTACCCGCTATAAATTTATCGTGTGAAATGATTTTATGTTCCAAGTACGAACGATTTAAGTTGTTCAAACGGTTATGAGCAATACTATAATCTGCCCAGGTAGCGACACGGCCAGTGAATAATGAAATCGATCGTTATACACAATTAACTACATTCCATCATCGTTTCGGGCAACGGTGAGTTCGCAAAGCGATATATGTACATGGTCATCGAGGTTCCATCATGCACGAGTGGTAGTAGAATGAAAGTCATTGTATGTGCTGAAGACGTCAACGAAAAGAATGTCATCAGCTATACTCGCTTGTAGCGGAATTTTCGTCTATCGCTGAATGGTTTAATTGGTTCCAAAATCCATTTCAGAAAACACGTGTCTCTCAAGTAACAGTGAATGAGCTCATGTTGGACGAAAATGTATGGAATATTCTTAAATTCTAATTCTAATTACGGCTTAAGAAAAGAAATCCATGCAGAATTGTTCAATTATAATTAGAATTTAAGAAGCGTGTGTTGTATTTTTATACTATAATAATAATTAGATCACATTTTTTATTATTTCTTGAAATGTGATCATCTCTCCTTCGATTCAGTTATCAATAACAGAAATCAGATAATTATCCTCAATAACGCATTCGAATACGTCGACAAAAATATTTTATTCTCGGACTGGCTTATTGCGTATTTCACATTTTAAAATGAAATTCTCAGAACAAAGTCATCGCCGGAAGCAGCCACAGCACTCGAAATTTCCATAAAGCAATCGTCACTTGTTAAAATATTACGACCGTTCTAAAAATAATTAAGTTTGCGGGTGTCAATTTGAAATGAAATAAAGAAGAAAGTGAAAATTTAACATAGGAACAATAGTATCGTTTAGTCAAAGGAAAAAATGCAAAACCATGTATATTCTCATAAAGATAAAAAATGTTAAGTATGTGTATCTACTTAATTATTAATTAATCTATTCCATTTCTGTCCGTTTTCTTCATTACCATCCGCCATTTTTAAAACGAGCAAAGGGCGGGAAAACATTTGAATTTAAACCGTGTCACCGGTATTTTAAGACAGATAGAAGGTTTACTGATTTAATTTACATTTTTACTTTTAAATTATGGCGGACCGAAGTTTTAATTATTCTTCCCTTATTGATGAACTTTGATATTTGTTGTATTGTTATACGTTATTTATAATTCATAACAAAGGAAAGATAGACCTAGATTTATCTCTGACTTAAAAATGATTGAACAATTATTTTCGAATAAAAGAAACCATGTAATATGACGTATATACGGAAGTAAAAGTTGTTGTGATAAATATCCACTTTCTCACATCAATTTCAAATGGGATTGATATTGCAAGATCTTTTGGACGACAGTTATGGGAACCATATTTTTGTTTGACCTTTTTCCTAGTTCCTATCGATAAAAACGTCCCTAACACAGTTAGATTTTTCAAATATAAATTAAGTACAACCATGTACTCATGCTCCAACGATGAAATACCTTTACAACGAGCAAACAACTATTCAAATAATTTGAAATCACATAAACGAGGAACACTATTCGGGCCACAGGACTAAACAGCGTGCCATTCTCTCCTATCTCCGACTACATATTTCCCAATCGCTAAAACCGTCTTACATAAAGCGAGAGCTACCGAAGAAACGTGTAAGTGCATACACTTCGCCTGGATATCGAATCGAAAATCGATTATCCCCCACCCGGCGAACGCGCACTAATTAAAAATGCCTAAACACTCACCGAACGAAATTCTTCGAGCGAAGTGAGTTGGGCTCACTCCATTTGGATCGTGTGGACCCGGATCGACTCGCGCTGGATTCCTTCGATCACGATACTTGGTTCGAGGGGAGCTTTTGTTTTGGCTAACGTGAAACTGTCAAACGGCACAGTTGGGCACTGGCTTTCCCAAAATCCAACGCATCACTGGCATATTTTCTGTTACGAGGGCCCGTGGAGGACCGTGTGGCGCGGCGTGCACGCGTTCCGTGACCAACGAGACCAAAGAGAAACACGCCGTCGACGAAAAACGCTCGTCGAAACGGACCGCTCTGCCTATATACGATAAATATAAACTGCAGCGCGGACGCTCACATCGCACAGCCAGCGTTTCTCGGCAACTGGTCGGACACAGAAGCGAATTGCGAAAGATTCACGAACCGGACCGTGCTTACCTCGTCGCGGCCGAACTCTCCCGTCCACCGACACCACACGGCGCTGCGATTGGCCCGTTTATCCCTCGAGCTCGACTGGACGAAATGTCGCCCCCCTCCCCTTTCATCCCACCAGCCCTGTTAATCCCATGGTTCCCGGAACTATGAGATAAAAGTCAACGGGGCTCGTTTTTGATAATTTCGAAGTGTCCACAATGCTCGGCGATCCCTGCCTGATTCCTTTTGCCTTCGTTCTGTTTCCTCTACGTTTTGTTTCTTTCTCGATTCGCGTCGTATAAATAGTACACGCTCCGTATCGACGTAGATACTTGGGGAAACAGAGTGTAAATATCTCTGTAGAAACACACCCAGCCCTGCACTTGATCCGTTCCATTTACACGATTTCGATTCTTTTCATTTTTCTACCAGTCGTAAGTACCTCGCTTAGTTGTTTAAGACTTGGGTGGGTCCACTTTTACCCACAGCATAAACAGCGTCATTTAATCGTCTTTCTGACAATTAATTCGAATCTTTACATGCTTCATTCAAACCAAAACACAGACTAACTTGTTAGGAGACGTACGGCAAAAACTATGTTGAGGAAAATAGTTACATAAAATTATAGAAGGCTATCCGAGTATTAAGGCCTATTCAAGCGAATTATATATTTTTTAAAATTCAAGAATGTAAAATGTAACTATGAATGTATTATTTACATAGAAAGCATATCTCTAGAACGTTAATTTATTTCGTAAAAAAATTTTTAAAAATATTCGTAAAATAACGTAGTCCACGTTAATTATATTATAATGTTATTATTTTCGAATTTGTTTGAACGAATTCCATCCAATTCATAGTAATTGAGTATAATTGTTCTATTTGAATAATTTTATACCTCTCCCACGTTGGTAATCGTGTATATGTCTTGAATATGTCTCTTTCCTCTTCAAAATGCAAGAAACATTTAGTTATGTAAATCTTAGAGTCACTCGAAATAATGAAGTGTTTGGAAAATAGTAGTCTATCTACATTAAAATGACATAATAGATTATGAAATTGGAAACTTCGTGCACAGCCTTAGCTATCGTCAGTCAACCCAATTTCATTCTGTTTAATAGGCAAATAATGAAAAATTAATCATCGAAGACGATTGTATTAACGTAAAAGTAGTCGTTTATTCTGGTGGAACCTGTAGATGAATCTGGTTCGTTTAAATAAGGTTTTATATTATTTGAAAAAAATATATGACGAATTGAAGGTGTTATCAAGCAGCGATTACGTTTACAAATGGAATCGGGTGTCACCCGTGATATTGGGTGAAGCAATACTTATCGCGCCTGCAATCTAATGACAAAATTGGCATCACTAATGGTGGAAATTGTGCCTGGCAATTATTATCACCTATAGTTTTTTTTTATTATATTTAGATTATTTATTATTCTCGGACAGTTCATTTATAACTGTTCATTCAGTATGATTTGAAAAAGAATTTACTGAAAGAGCTATAGGCATATAACTATGTAAACTATGTTATCTCATTGTATGCTTCATTCATGGCTAATCAATTACCTTTCTCATATAGGCTTATCATATTAATGTTTATTCAACTCAACAGTACTTATCCTTCAGACAGTAGATTATCTATATGTATTACAATGCCACTGATGATACCATTCAGCCATAAAATTTGAATTGTTTCCAATTTTCTTAATATTAATTCTGTTATTGTATAATTTACTTTCTGGTCCATGTGTAGATAACTATAGACTTTATTTCCTAATTGGATTTTAATTCTTAATATTGATTATACTTATTAGCAAATTATTTATTACTAGGTATGCTGTTTTTAATCTCGTTTGTGCATATTACTGATTAGATAACCTCAAAATCTGTTATTTCTTGTAGTATACTTAAAAAATTCAATCATTGTGTAAATTCAGTAAATTCTGTATATTTAATTTGGTCCATGTTTTGTTTGCCTCTATATCTTTTGCTATTAATCCAAATTTATGGTTTTAGCCTAGATTGTTTTTCACATTAATTTACGACATGTTCTAGCTAGTTCTGTTTTCAACGAATTGTAGTTTTTCAAACCATTTAGCGCCTTCTGTTTATTTTCCACTTCAACCTGCTTAATTCTTATAAATTTGTTCGCTGTTGTCTTTGTGCATACTTTCATCCAGTATCTTCCGACTTTTGCTACAATTAAAAAGTATAAACAGAAATTATGTGGCAGATAATCAGTTACGTAATATAAGATAATTGTCATTGAAAAGACACAAAAGTAAAAATTGTCACCCTTGAAGTATGAAATATTACAATTGTACGTTCCTTTTAAGGTTATTTTATCGATGACATCGTATTTTCCACAAATAGGTAACTCTATATCAAGAATAATTAGTTAATGAAAAATGTGCATCAACAAAATAATATTTTTACTTGTATTGTCCACAATTGCTATTTATCTGCACTTAAAATGCTTCTTTTGAATAAAATAAATCCATTCGTTAGATTTAGGTTAGGGTAGCCTATGGCCATGAATTATTCCAACGATAATGGCGGTATCTCCATTTTGAATTTGATGCACCTCTTAGGCTAAGTACACATCACGGTTTTATGCTGCATAGTGAATAAACTTCCATAGAAACAAATTAAAGAGAATAGAGGAGTCTTTCCGTTGCGCTATCTATGTTAAAATTAGTCAGTCAAAAAAGTCGTACAAGAAGGTAGCGACCTCTTGAAATAATCATAAAAGAGCAACCGAAACTAAATTATTAAAACTTCTTTCCAATTAATCCATCATTCTACGAACATTACTAGTATAGAAATATTCAAATATCAAATACAATACTATGGATTTTTTTCAAAATCTCATTCAAATTTACCGCCACAGTGCGCACGGTCAAGTGCGCCATCTATCTTCCAATATGATTATGGCGGTTTATTCCAACCGCTAAATAAGAAGTAAAAATAAATAAATGCACAGTGCTGTCGCTTGACTGTACGAAATAAACAAAATGAAGTTCCGGAACTATAATCTTATCCTTAATGTGGTGAAAGTATCAACTATTTGTTCTTACGTTTAGAAATAAGTCAAAAATAATTTAAATGAAAAAAAATTAAATGAGACACTGCAAGATCATCGCATGTTGTTTTATAAAATGAATAACAAATGTCTTTGCTCCATGAGGGTCTTTAATTTATTCCAGGAGCAACGCTTGTAAATGGCGGCAAAGAAACCGATAGAAGGTCAATGGCAGGCGGCTACCAATTTACTCTTTCTCTGAATAGAGAGCCCTCGATATAGTGATAGGTTCGTTACTTTCGATTTCTGTGCTTTCTGCCCTGGGAACGCCCTTGAGTTTCTCTGGGAGCAACGCTTCAGAACAAACGATAATAGAGAAAGTATCGATCTTGCATATCCGACATCGACAGCAATAGAAAATTAACTATAATACATCGTTTTTAGGCTATGTTCTTCAACGTTCTTCGAACGTTCGCCAAAAATCTTTCATTTTCAGGTATATTTAATTTGGCACGCGTTTGTAACGTAAGGTAACGTAATAAATTAATGATCTGTCCTTCTATATCGTACTTCTATAAGTTTCAATGTCTTTAGTATTTAAGAGATAAGTATCACAAATCTCTCATGATCGATGTTCATTTCGAAAGATGTTCTCAAGATTCCAACACTTCGTCTTCAATTATTATGTAGTTTTTTTCGGAATGCATCAACTAACAATGTTAATTAATACCTTGTCCGGTATTCGGTACGTGAAACGTAGTTCTTACTTATCAATTCAACATTTGAGTCACGTCCTGTTTATTTCAATATGATAAAACGCTTCGAGACTGAGATTGCGAGCCGCGCTTACGATTGTTGTCTGGCAAACTCGACGTACGACGATCGTTTCTATTCAGTAATTAGAAATTCCGATAACTATCGAAGATCGAGTGAAATCGATCTTGTAACTAACAATGTGAAATCGTACGTTCCAGATTTTCTCCAGTTTTACATTCGATAATTCGCGTATTCATTATTCTGCAAAAGCGGCATAATTTTAGGTGAACGTCCTAAAGATAGAATGGAAATCTGTGAATGAAAGAGGTACGGCGATTATTTTATTATAACACGGCATAATGTATGTTATGAATGCGTTATGCCTTGCGGTTTACTTAGACGTCTTCGTAATTATATAAGGTTATTTTCGCACAATAACGTGTTACTGGAGCTTACCTTGCCGTCATATTGTGTTTCTTCGGTCAAAAGCAAAGAATGGTCCTTTGTTCTACATGTAGCCTCAGTTCCTAATGACCATTATGTTCTACGGATTTGTTTAGTGGCAGACATCTCACTATTATGCAAGAGTTGATTTATGTAAGAATCAAGATTGAGTAAATGATACGGGTGTGGAGACGAAATGAAAGTGCAATAGACCGGAAAAGAAAACGGTTGATCAGGTAAGAGTATACCCTATTAAAGAGTTAAATAGATCGTTAAAAGTTTTAGATGCATAGTAAAATTTATATTATATTTTATATCAAAAAAGGCTTACTTGCTGCAAGTGTTTCATGCATATCAAAATAACTACCTTCTATATCAATAATGTTAGTTCACCTCTATTCAAAGTTAGACGTAGCAAAATCCTTTTTCAGCTTCCTACGCACTTCAACTTTCACCTTTAGAGGATCGAATCGATTCTTCTATTATTACAATAGTGCTGAAGATATTATCGTAGTACGTTTAAGTTGTATACGAAGTAATAAATATTCCCACAATCAGATTAGATAGAAGTTTCCATTACAATGAAGCACTCGAAATTATCACCTGCTAGTTGGATACTTGAAATCAAAGTTTACTCTGATAATGGATTCTTGGCCGACATTCTTCTTGCGATAAAATTTTACAATTAGAAAAATCATAGTTCAGAAACAATGCTCACTTTAACAGGTGCTTATCGAAAATGATTATGGTAGCGAACGTACTATTATTAAGTGCATTACAAGAGCACTTCCATTACGATCAATGCTAATGAAAATGGAAACAATAA